TAGAGGCTCATCCATAATTAAGGTACCTATTTCAAACTTTTCCCTCCCAAGCCTCAAGGACCATTGCAGAAGAGGAGGTGGAAAGATTTTAAGAGCCAGAGGTTGTGGATGACCACTGGAAGCGTTGTTTACCAGATGTTTACCAGGCCAAGCGATGTTTATCAGGTCATTAACACATATGAACTCATAGCAGTGGTGACAACATGCACAAGTCCCATGCAAGCTCAAACTAAAAAAATCCAGTATAGATATGGGGAAGTGGGTAAGAATATCAAACCCATACTGAGGAACTTTTGACAAATGATGGCTGCAGGGAAGAGGAGAGACAATGTCTTACAAGGATAAGACTATTGGTTGATTAAGTTCAAGTGGATGGACCTACACTGAAAAATTTATAAAGTAAAAAAGAGAATTCATTTTAACTTTAATGTGCAAGAGTCAAAAATGAAAATTAATAAACCACTTAGAAGAAAAAATACTATTTGACCGTGAATTACACTACTTAAATTGCATTGACAAGAATTATTACAGCTAAACTGGAAGTAAATAAATAGCAATGACACAGAATTATGTGATAACTGGAAAAAACATTTATATGGATAGAAACAAATTGAAATTCACATTTTATGTTGACTCTTAATAGTAACCAATATACCTTGTTAATGTGCGGAATTGTAGGAAATAATGTAAGTTTTTCTTATTATTCTTTATTATTGCCCATGCATGGATTTTTTATGATGTGATATCATTCTTGCTATATCCCAGCATGTGTTGAAGTGTATACACAGACTTTGATATTGGGCTATAATTTTAACTTCCATTAAATTGAGAGCAAAAATAATCTCAATGCTTTAAGTAAGAAAGCAAAGCATTTCTTTAATTACAGTGACAATATATTATACAGAACATCCATAAAAATGCTCTTGCTCTTAAAATATTGACATTAATGCTACAAACTGAAGGAATCCAAATGAACAAAAACTTTCCTTGTGTGTAATATTGGTAACTACTAACAGAACTAAGATTACTTTTTCTTTGCGAATCCTCTACTCAACAGTAACTTCCTTACAGCCCCCTTCATGGCCTCATTCCTCAGACTGTAGATAACAGGGTTGAGGGTTGGGGTAAGTACTGTGTAAAACAAAGAGAGCATGAGGTCAAAGATAGTTGGAGAGTCTGAGGTTGGCTTTAGATAGACAAAGGCTCCAGTGGAGAGAAAAAGTGATACAACACAGAGGTGCGGCAGGCAGGTGGAGAAGACCTTAGACCGACCTTCAGCAGAGGGCATCCTGAGGACTGTGGAGAATATGTGGACATAGGAGAGGGCGATGGCGATGAAGCAGACAAATGCCATTGTAGACATGAAGGCAACCACTCCAACAATTCCAAGGTAATCACTGGAGCAGGAAAGCTTGAGCAATTGTGGGATATCACAGAAGAACTGGTGGATTATTTTAACTTTACAGAATCTGATAGAAAATGTAGTTGTTGTGTACAAGATGCCCGAGATGCCACCACTTAACCACACAGCTGCCACAGCCCATCCACATTTTCTGGGATCCATGATGATTTCATAGTGCAGTGGGAGGCAGATGGCCACATAGCGGTCATAGGACATCACTGTGAGAATGGCCACCTCAGCCCAGGCCAAGGACATGAAGAAGAAAACCTGCAGCACACACTGTGCATAGGAAATGTATCCACTGTCAGTCAGGGAACTGTGGATAGACTGCGAAACAGTGACAGACAGGGAGGAGAAGTCCAGAAAGGAAAGGTGCTTCAGGAAGTAATACATTGGAGATTGGAGCTGTGGGTCCAGCATTGTGATGGTGATGATGATGAAATTACCTGCCAAGCCCAACAAGTACAACACCAAGAAGAGCAAAGCGTGTAGGATCTGCAGCTCCCGGTTGTCAGAGAACCCCAGGAGGAGGAAACCACTCACTCTGGTTATGTTTGTCATCATTTTGGTAATGGGAATTTTGCATGAAACTGAGAAACAAAAGAAATGCAGTAGAAAAATATTCTAAGAATTTGTGCCTTTATCCAGCACTGCTTATTTCAATACTTAATGTTAAGTGTTTTTTGTTTATTGTTTCTATCTGTGGTAGTGGGAATTCAAAGGACATAATTTTGCCTGGGTTACATTTGTGTATGTAGTACTTTGTACTTTTGAAGCACATTGATGATTCTATAAGTAGAATATGATTTTGGATCTTGCCTGTGATATGTGATACCTGATTCCTTCATAGCAAAAAGGGGGGGGGGCTCTACCACGAGAAAATCCATGAGCTTAGAGCCAGAATGTGCCTGCTCTTCCAAATAAAACTGCATGAAATGGAAGTGTGATGGAAATCAAGAGCAGAAACACACTTTCCAGGAAACTTTTACCTAGGACTCTCACACAAGGTATCACATTTGTTTGCCCTTAGGTCTTTCTGATGTGTCCTACACAGATTTCATTTTGTGTCTTCAATGTACATAACTGTGTCCCTAACATTTTCTGTCATCTGCAGCCATTGGGTAGTTACTGAACACTCCTGGCATCAGAGACCGGCAAAGAAAAAGTGGTTTAATAGTTGGGAGAATAACTTTCAAAACCCAGGGTATAACTGCAGACAGACTGCAGTTGTATACTGATCTACTTTTCTGATAAGAAGGAAATCATGTTTCATTAATGGTTCATGGTTTGATATTGTGGGATGTATTTAACTAAGCTTTTCCCCCTCTCCAACTGTTCACTTATGAGGCTTATGGCTGGTTATCAATGTTTTTCATTTTCTTTCTTATTTTTCCTTGTATCCGTAAATTTTTACCATAATTGTAAAAGGCTATAAAATTTATCTTAATCTAGGGTGCTTTATTCTAAACCTTATAAAATCCCACAGTGAGTCTTTTGTCTCATTGATTCATCCACTTAGAAATGCTTCTAGAATTTCCTTCAAATCCTCAAACAACATAATAGAAATAGGAATAACTAGGTGTCAGAATTATGCTTCCAAAGAACATTGCTTTCTCCCAAAGCTTTGCTTTTTGTCTACCATTTTCCCTAGAAATAGTAACAGTATTCCAGTTCAGAATTAATGTTTATAAGGTTATTTACTATTTTAACTCCCAAAATATATGCAAAGTTTCATAAAGGAGGAAGTGGGAAAACTGAATACATTTTCACATTCTTTTGATCTTTTTGAGACAGGATCTCCTGTAGCACCAGTTGGCCTGGAACTCACTATGTAGAACAAGCTGGCTTTGAATTCACAGAGATCCATCTGCCTCTGCATCCTGACTGCTGGGGCTAAAGGCGTGCACCTCCAATAAGACAAATATTACCCTGTCACCTACTCTAAATCAGTCTCCATCCACACAGGCAGTTTCATCTCCTTCGCGTTAAGCATTTGAATCTTTATTTATTGGAAATATTGTTTCAGAATGCTGAAATAAGAGCATTGAGATGTGGGTTAATTTGGATTCATACTAATTCTTATTGAGCATCTATAAATATGAATGAAATGGATGCACCAGTATTCAGACAGTGGGTACATTTTCCTGAATATACACCATCAGGGATCTGTCTCTGCATCAGTGAAAATCTGAAGAGGTGTTTCACAGAGGCCTTTAAGAGACAAGCAGGTAAAACATTAATCTTTCCCAATATGTTGATTTTCTCTAAAT